TTGAAATAATGTAGACCAGCATAAGGAAACATCGATAAGCTGATTTTAACAAACATAATTGAAAAGTCATTCCTATCATATTAATCTGTGAAGTAGTCATTTATGTCATAATCTCTTACAAATGTACACCTATGCATTCAAAATTGTGTTGGTTTCTCGATTCAAGCTATTGTAAACTCAGCTACAAGATGTCTCATGTATTTAACACAAACGGTTTTTGGTTAGAGTTTGGATATGCACGTGTTAATACTAGGATTTAGGTACATCCACCTGACAGGCTTTAAATAGGACAAAATGCGTATTCTGGATTTAACTGCTAGTTACAATCCAACTTTAATAAAATTCCAAACTGAAGCGAATCCGCTCAAGATGGGTGGATTACAATAATAATTGATCGAATTCGTTCCTTAATTTCAACGTCAAAAAAAACCTCATGCATAAATTATCAATTTACATGATCTTATTTTGAAAGAACTTATATCCAGTAGTGTAGCTGACAGTTTCTTCGTTCAAGAGAAGTGTTCATGTAGTTTTATCAATAACAGGAAATGTGCATAAGATATTTTCGGCATTATGCTCACTGTGAAACTTGAAGCTTAAACTTTCTGATTTAAACAAATCCCCAACTATTAGGAGAAAATTGGCACATTTAAGAACACAGCTGAAGCCATACAATCAAGTTCAGAAGAGTTAGAATTTGAACAAGAATCTGTGAATGAATGGAGGTTGATATGAAACAGTTTAATTAAAAATCAAACGACAAAGTGATTGTCTTATGAGGTAGCAATTCTTCAAATCGTGCTGCTATGTGATCTGAAGAAGTCTAATAGACAATATATTCTGTTGTTGAACCTATTCATTCATTTTATTTAATAATTTTTTATCATGATTTTATATTCCTTACACTTACTTACGCCTGTTACACCCACTGGAGCATAGGCCGCCGACCAGCATTCTCCAACCCACTCTGTCCTAGGCCTTCTTTACTAGTTCCATACAATTCTTGTTCATTTTTCTCATGTCTGTCTCCATTTCCCGGCGTAATGTGTACTTTGGTCTTCCTCTCCTCCTTTGGCCTTCAGGATTCCATGTGAGGGCTTGTCTTGTGACGCAGTTGGGTGCTTTCCCAATGTGTGTCCTATCCACTTCCAGCGCTTCTTCCTAATTTCTTCCTCCGCTGGGATCTGGTTTGTTCTCTCCTACAATAGGTTGTTGCTAATAGTTTCCGGTACGTATTAGGACTCCGACCACGCCCTAATACGGGCACGCATCTGCTTGTGCCTCACCGGACGCAAAAAAGCCACAGTAAAAAGACCCATCAGAACTGAATTGAGTGGCGAGAAAACCAAAAGAAGGTTCTAGGAACAACTGAGGTCACAATTACGTAGTTCTGAAGACGAGGCTGACCCAGATGTTGCTTGGAAAGCTATACAAACAGCTGTGGAAACACCAGTGACATCTATTAGTGATTTAAACCACAGGGTTACAAAGAACTAATGGATTTCCTGAAGGTCTATCACACTGATGGATTCTCGTAAACTCATCCCATCAGGCTCTGAACACGATAAAAAGCGACAACAAATCAGATCTAGGTTAACCAAAAGTCTAAGGAACGACCGTGAGCAGTGGTGGGCAACGAAAGCAAGAGATGGAAAAGGCGGCGGCTATAGGGGACACAAGACAGCTCTACAGACTAATAAAAGAAACTGGAATTAATAAGTGTAAGTCAGACTATTTCGGAAAAAGACGACACCCTCATCTGCTCTCAGTCCAGACGTTTAGGACGATGGACGGGACATTTCAGGGAACAGTTCACCTGCTCTATAACTACCCACCATTCCCAGACAGCGTGAATGGAACATTGAAGTAGGTCCCCCGAATCTAGCTGAAGTCCATAAGGCTATAGTTAATCTGAAACGAGGAAGGGCAGATGGATTGGCTCCAGAGGTCTTTAAGGATGGTGGTCCAATTTTAGCGATTAGGTTAACTAATATTTTAGCTAGAAACTGGGAGTTGGACGTTATCCCATCTGACTGGTCACAGTCACTGATCGTCCCAATATATAAGAGAGGGTTAAAATCATCCTGTGACAACCATAGAGGGATTAGTTTGACTAATATAGCATCTAAAATACTAGCCTCGATAATTATCGGACGCCTAACTAAGACTCGTGAACTGCAAACACGGGAAAATCAAGCTGGCTTCGGACCTGTTCGTGGCTGCATCGACCACATATTCACCATTCGTCAGGTTCTAGAACACAGGCATACTTATCGGCGTCCGACAATGGTGGTCTTTCTTGACTTAAAGGCAGCATTTGACTCTGGAGACCGACAGGTTGTGTGGCAGTGTCCGTCATTAGAAGATATACCTTAGAAGTACATAAACCTTGTGAAAACGCTTTACTCGAACACTACTAGTCGAGTCAGAGCTTATGGCGAACTGTCATCTGCTTTTGCAACCTCAAGTGTTGTCTGTCAAGGCTGTCGACTTTCTCCATTTTTGTCTAACTTTATCATAGACCTACTGATGGAAATAACGCTCTTATTGACGGAATTTTCGGGCATTGATCTCATTCCATGAGGTCCAATTATCGACTTAGAATACGCAGATGACATAGTCCTGTTTGGTGAAGACGCTGAAAAAATGCTGAGTCTTTGGTAGCACTGAGCAACAGTGCCAGCATGTTTGGAATGCGCTCCTCTCCCTCCAAATGCAAGTTGTTGCTTCAGGACTGGTCTGCGTCAACACCTGAACTAAGGATAGGGAGTGAAGTAGTCGAACGCGTTGACAACTCCACTTACCTAAGAAGTCTGACCAACCCAAATGGGTTGGTGTCTGACGAAATATCAGCATGGATTCGAAAAGCTCGTTTGGTTTTTGCCGACTTACGTCACCTATGGCGAAGGCGAGATATCCGTCTATCAATAAAAGGATGAGTATACTGCGTGGTAGTTCGTTTTTTTTTAATTTACGGCAGCGAAACATGGCCATTAAGAGTAGGAGATACTCGTAAGCTACTAATATTTGACCACAGATGTCTTAGAAATATTGCTTGCATCTGTTGGGATCACCGGGCAAGTAATAGTGAGGTTCGACGCATAGTATTAGGGAACGATGGTAAATCAGTTGATGAGGTTGTGAATCTTCATCGACTGAGATGGTTGGGCCACGTGTTACGTATGCCTGAACACCGATTAACACGACACGCAATGCTGTCTAGTGTTGGTGATGGTTGGAAGAAAGTTAGGGGTGGCCAAACCAAAACATGGCATCAGTGCTTGAAGTCACTAACTTCTAGTCTGAGCCATGTTAGTAGATGTAGACTACTTGGTTGGGGTCCGCGTGACTATCGTAACCAATGGTTGGAGACTCTGGGTAACATGGCTCAGAATCTATCACAATGTCGTCGGTGTATACACTCTCGCTTCATATCTTTTTTTCTTCCTGTACTATATACTTATATACAACCTTTCTTTTATATATTACCACCTCTGAATTAACTACTTTTTAATCCGGTGTCCATCTTGTTGTGTTAATGAGGTATGGCAACTTGGACCGATGCATATATATGCCTGATCCTACGTTGTAGCTGACTGAGTGTCCGGCCAACGGATCCGAAGTATTTTGCGTAGAAAACTGTTAATAAACACCTGTATTTTCTGGATGATGACTTTCGTAATTCTCCAGGTTTCTGCTCCATACAATAGAACTGTCTTGACATTTGTATTGAAAATCCTGACCTTGGTGTTGGTTGACAGTTGCTTTCAGTTCCAGATGTTCCTCAGTTGTAAATATGCTGCTCTTGCTTTACCGATCCGCGCCTTCACATCTGCATCAGATCCACCCTGTTCATCAATGAGGCTGCCCAGATATGTAAAGGTTTTTACATCTTCCAAATCTTCTCCGTCAATTCTTCCACGGTGTGGGCAACCGGGAAGTGATAACCGCCCTCATACTTCTAACAGCACTCAAGTCCACTGTATTCATAATCTCCGTCAATTGTGACTGGATTGGTGCATGCTGTGTTGTATCAGAGAATTTTGCTTTTCCCTTTGTGTATATTGAGACATACTGCTGCTGAGGCTGCTGCTACACTAGTCGTTTTCTCCTGCATTTGTTGTTGCGTTTGGGATAGAAGGGCCAGATCATCTGCGAAGTCTAGAACGTCCAGCTGCATCCTAGATGTCCACTGTATCCCGTGTTTTCCTTCAGATGTTGACGTCTTCATGATCCAGTCGATCACCAGGAGAAAGAGAAAGGGTGAGAGTAAGCAACCTTGCTTGACCCGGTCCCTTCGGAGGCTACTGCCAGTCCCAAGCCCGGATAAAGGAGGAGGGTTGGGCATGGGATTAGCGTCCCCATCCCGTAGAAAACTAACTCGCTAAAAAAACGCTAACCAGTAAAAAATATTCCTTACAAGAGGATTTATAATGAGTAATATTTTTACAAAATATATGAATACTTGTTTTATTATATTTTATGGTTCAGTGAGATTTAAAAATCCGGGTGAGAGTAGGTAGCTATTACATCAATACAGATTTGTACCGATTATCGAATTAAATCCGCTCAATGAAATCATTAATACTGAGTTAGATTATTTTTTTTATTGTCTTGTGTATTTTCTATTTCGAATGAAGTTTTCCTAATAAGAAATGACATACTATTGTTTTGATATTAACATTTGATGGTATCTCTTGTTATTTATATAAATTAAATTATTTGCTGATGAGTGCCAGTTCAGATTCAAGGTTTTCTGTTGACTACCTTCAAGTAATGAAAATATCACAAGTTTTTTGATAAATAACTTCCTTCGTCCAGGACTAGAAAAAACTACCGAATACATGATTAAAAATATTTTTAAATATAGAAAATAACGATTCACTCAAGAACGATATGTGCAAAATGAATCTAGTTATTCATACTTTGAGACTAGCAAAAAATAACGAATATATATGTACACTATATATATATATATATATATGATACATTTACAAAATTCAATATCCTGGAGGTAAAGCTGGACCTTCTGGTTCAAATTCACTGTTGTTTGAACCTGACTCTCCATCATTAATTATTTGTACATCATTTGAAGAATAAGTATTCAGTTTATTCGGTTGCCATTTATCGTATGTATGCCATAGATTTTCAAAAGTTACAACTTTTTGACGTAAATGTTCAAAATTCTCCAATTTTGGTTTACGCCATAGACGAGGCTCTTTGTCTAGTGCACCAGCTATAATTTCCTGTTAGAATGGAATTAATAAGGAACTCGATAAAATGACAATTTTAAAGTAAAAATCAAATTGTAAAATTTATTTTATCATAATTAAACATGAATAAAAAAACTGTGTTATGGGACATAGTGAATAGAAAGCGAAGAATGGGAATGAGCTATCCAGATTATTTTCAAGCTTTTCTTCGCGAAATTTGGAAATACATGGTTTTTATATTTCATTAAGTGATAGAAATACCTTTTATTTAAATATTGCTTACATTAATTTGAATATTGTGTGATATTAGGTCAGAATCGATCACAACAACCCAGTTACATTTTCTCCTTATCTTAAACTAAATTGTAAATTCTAATATTTCTTCATACTTACTTACGCCTGTTACTCCTCGTAAAGGAGCATAGGCCGCTCACCAGCATTTTCCATCCAACCCTGACCTGGGCAATCCTTTCCAGTTGTTATTCATCCTTTTCATATTTGCTTCTATTTCCCAACGTAGTATGTTCTTCGGCCTTCCTCTTTTCCGCTTCCATTCAGGATTCCAAGTTAGGGCTTAACTCGTGATGCAGTTTGATGATTTCCACAATGTATGTTCTATCCATTTCCATCGTCTTTTCCTAATTTCTTCTTCAGCTGGGAGCTGGTTCGTTCTCTCCCACAGAAGGCTGTTGCTGATAGTATTGGTATCCGGTCAACCAATATTGAGTATTTTGCATAGACAACTATTTATAAATACTTTTACCTTCTTGATGATGGTTGTTGTAGTTCTCCAAGTTTCAGCTCCGTACAGTAGAACTGTCTTGACTTTCTCATTGAAGATTCTGATTTTGATATTGGTTGACAGTTGTTGCTGATGGTATCCGGTCAATAGATGTTGAGTATCTTGCGTAGATAAGTACTTGTACCTTCTTGATGATGGTTTTAGTAGTTCTCCTCTTCACCAACCATATTTTTTAATACTCAATAATCTTCAATATCATTCTTACTATAATAAGTTCAACTAGTTTAATGTAACATCTTGTTAATACTTCGTTCCTTTGTTCTAATGTTGTGATATGAAGATTTATGCTAATACTAACTATTTTTGTCAAACATGACATTGTCGTTTATGATTGACCGATATGAAATTGAAAATCGAAATCATTCAAAGACAATCGTTAATTTACAAACAATATTATTATTTTAATGTGTAAATTCATAAAAATGTGATTAAAAAAAATCTAATTACAGTAAGATTAATTTTGAATATTCTACATAAAAGACTGTTATTGATAAACAATCATAAAAAGGAAATGTTAATTTCCACTGTTTATCAGTTTGTCACTTCGATTTTTTCCAAACCTTGAAAGTCAATTAACTACTAACGTTTGCTGAAAATTTTTAACTTTAATGATGTAGTCACATTGCATTTTTATGTAAAGATTTTCATATGATGAAACCCGCCTCATTTATTAAAGCAAATTAGAATAATAGAAGATTGACATGGATGATAAAGAGTTGTAACTTTTGACCTGAGGGTGTTTAGTAACTGTTTTCATGGTGTTGATTCGACAGTTGAATGATATTTTATTTTATCATAGTCGTATTTTTTTGTAGGCCATATGCAGTTTTAGCTGGCGCTTTTTAGCTATTTACTTATCGAAGTAAATTTAGGTCATTCAAACCGATTTTAGTCAAATTGTGAAAATACGATTTACTCAAATGAAAATACTTACACGTCCAGAATATGAAGATATTTCTTGTTCTTCATCTAAAATACGTGCGAAACCACCATTTGTAGTACCGAACTCTACAGCTAAATAAGCGAATTTCGGAGGAATTGCACCATACGCGCCAGATCCACCCGGTTTTAATGTGATCAGGCGACGATTTTGATCCCATTCAGAGCCAATTTCGCTTAAGGCTTTCTAAATAATAATTTTAGAAAAACAAAATCTCATAATTTAAAGAATATTATAGAACAGAGACTGAACTGAATGTAGGTTGCCGGATAAATACATTATGCAATAGGATAGAAGACAAAATTGTCAAACAGAAAAGTATGTTATTAAAATAAGCCACTAAGAGAACGTAGGTGAGGATAAAAACATTCAATATGGCAATCTGTTTCAAAATAAACTATTGAATATCCCGATATGGTGATCTTAACTACGTAGTGGACCATAGCAAGTGGTCAAAGGTTTCAACCGGTTGCCTTAATGTGTTTGATCGGAATACTTTTTCCGAGATGCACCTAATAGATTATCGATCCTTGCTCTTTTACTGGTTACCCTGAGTTCACATAGAATGTTGTGACCGATAATCTATAGCACATGCTTTGACTTCAGGCGAGGATCCAGTAAGGGGGAAAGTTGCCGTTTTTATAACAACAAAGGGTCGAAACTTGTTCTTACCTTCCGGTTTATGAAACGATCTGCCAGCAAATCTTTGCTTTGGCTTTCGTAAATGCTCGCTTAATGATATCTACATATCATCTCACCCTCCTATTTGACTGAGGGTGAAGTAAATGGATATGATTGATGTGCTGTTTGCTGTAAAATGCGTGCTACTACTGGGAGTACTGTTTTGGGATTCAATGGTGACGTCATTTCGAAAATCATAGAGATTACTTCAAGTTGTTTCAAAGTTTCATGAGTAAGAATTAAAAATACGGTTCTGTTGAAGTGCCTATGGAGTCTGGGCAAAATCATGAGCATGTCTTCTCTAATTGTATCCATAGTTGTGAAGGCAACTTTGAAGATTTTTCCGCAAATTAGTGACACAGGAGGGAATTTTTGTCAATGAAAAGAAGACCTGGTTTTCAGGCCTGATTCTATACTTGTTTTATCAGTAGTCAACCACAACTAGCAAATATACAGCTGTTTATGTCGCAGAGATTAACAAACAACAGTTTTAACTAGTTACTCGAAAACTACGATTTTTAATAGACACTGAAACAAAATCGACTAAACCTATTAACCTTATCACCACATAAAAAGAATTGCAGAGTATTGTGTGGAATACAACAAACCCTTATTACCTTTGTGTTAGGGATGCGGGGGAATATACCAATCATTATCATGTTAAGTCTAATGATGTCCTTGGACTTTAAATGGACATTCCCTATTGGCAATTATTTATTTCACTCGTTAAATATTGTACAGATGTTTTTTTCTATTTTTATGGTACGATGTGGTCTGTTTGGTTGGTATATAAACAGAGTACGTTTGAAATATAACGATTCATATCCCAGAGGCTATGACTTGTGTTCTGGACTCAACTGGCTGGGCTAGACAGGGAAGCGGGACCAACCAGAACTCCAGGCCGTTCATTACGTGTTACCGTAATCGATCGATAAAACGCTGCTCCATCTAAACTGCAATCCACACGTTACAACACTATGAACATGGGTTAAGTATTAAATGGAAAAGTTAGTTGTAATAAGATTTAGAAGATGAAAATGATTTCAGAAATAACCTATTTCTTGAGTTGTTTCCAATAAGTCAATTAGTCATAGAAAACACTAGATTTGAGATAAATATGTATCGACTATAGGAATATTACACCTAAACACAAGCTGATCCGTGTTGAATAGATGCGGAAACATTATCTTTCCACTACTCAGTGCATTGACATAGCGAACTGGTCCGATTGTTTTATCAACCAAATAAACAAAGTACAGATACACACTAAAGACTTTGAGCTACAAGGTTTCCATTAGAAAACATTATCCGATCTCCTAAAAGATGAAATAAAGTAATCGGTCAATTAGAGCATCGTGCAATTTCGTGGATTGGTTTAAATTAGACATTAAAACTGTCGAATTTCGGCTCAATGGTCTAGAGGTTAAGCGTTCGCACGCGGGATCGTGGAGGCGCACTGCTAAGGAGTCCCATGCTAAAATAAAACGGTCGCCCAGTGTTTCCAGGTTTTCAATAGTGATCTAACATTCATCGATCCATGATCTTAATTCAGCATTTAACCGAGTGATAAAACAAAAGAATGTATCAATGATAGTCACTTGGCTCAGTTTTGAAACAACTTTTTTTCAATCTTTAGGTCTAGCTATTTACATTGACCTATACATTTTATTTTGTACGTAAGTTATGTATGTTTAAAATGTTTTGACTAAATCGATTTTGTATAATAACAAATAAGTACAACCTACACAACATTCTTTCTAACATAAAGAAAATAATTAAATATCATAAATAATGTTTTTAGCTTTTATTGTCTAGATGAACTACATCAGTCAGTCGGTAAAATCTGATGGAGCGTCATCAATTCTATAAATTAATTACGTCATATGCGACCAGCTCAAACTTCTAGATTTTCGTCGTTAAATGTGTATAATTTTTTTCAGTAAATTTTCCCGTTTTTGGTTTGTCAAAATGAACTAAATATGCTTGTCATTAGAGTATATTTACGCACCTACATAAAATATTTACAGTTTACCGAGAATCTAGTTGCTGAAAGACTCAAGAAATAAGACAATGGTGTTGAACAGTGGCTAGCAGAGGGATTCAGAACTTGTTTTCCGTCTGATTCAGGACTCATCAGCTATATGTATGTTCACTACAAGATTAAAACCAAATATTTTCCGCTTTGAACGTATTATACACTTAGCTACTGTGTACAGATATCTATTGACTTGTACAAAGGAGGTTACCACAGAGTTCGTTAATCAAATAAATTTGAGGGAGAAAAACTAGTCGTAAGCAATTACGAATGAAGAAGAATGGGAACTAATTTTGGTGGAGCTTAGAAGACAAAACTCCACTAAAATCATCCACGTGAACTACAAATCTCCACTATCTCAAAATGGCAACCAAAAAATATTTTTGTGCATATGTTTTTGGATATTCACAGATGAAATACTTAACAAAACGTGAGCTTTGTTGTAATATTCTGTATTTTGTGCGCAGATTTCTTTTTTGTAATCAAATGTGTACTACCGAATAAAACAAGTAGTCTGTTATAACAACAATAGAATAGTGTAAATTAATGAAGCAAACATTTATTTACGATGTTGTTGTTTTGTTCTGTTTTGTGGAAAACAAAACTAGAGAAGAGTATTTATCACAGATTAGTGGAAATCATAATATTCTAGAAATAATCGCTAATATTTGTGTTTTTTTTTAAAACGGAAATAAAGGATGACGGTTTGACGAACTAATACAAACAGATTGAATTGAAATCAGATACTTTTTGTTACTTTCTGTATTCATCATAATAAATATTTGTTCAGGCCAACACAATATTCTTAATCGGTCTTTAGTTGAAGTGTGAGAAATTAGTTACATAGTTAGGATCTGTAGTGACAAGCAACTAAGATAGGCTTAACACGCTTAAGACATCGTTCATTTATGGTACTAAGGTATATTACGAAAATTTATTTTTGTCGATTTGTATATTATCAGTTAGAATACATACGTTTCTATTAACACCTCAATCCACTTAATCATAGTATCGTTAAAGAGGGATTTAATTCAGCATTGTTCATATTTTGTGCTGAGAATTTACTTGCCGTTTAAACAAAAATATGGTATCAGATTAAGTGATAACCGTTGGTTATTATTATTAATGTTATCAGGTTACGGGTTTCACTTTTTGTTCTTGCTCGTCTTATCCTAAATCGAAATGGACACAACTGAAAATCTAATGAAAAGAATGCATTGTGTTTAGACGAAAGTAATTTGATACTTTATCCACTAAACATGTATAAGACTCAATTTTTAAGTTTAACCGTGTAAAGTAAGTCTGTCATCTGAGTTTATTCATATACAATTGGATTGATAACTTGACAAATTACAAATCCGATAATTCGTATGTGGAAATAGTTTTGTTTTAATTATTATGAACTGGAATCAGCTGGAGAACCGAATGACTCTCTCGTTTTTGTTTTAGGATTCCTCAACCGTAGACACCACCCCTTCCCCCACTATAACATAAGGGAAGAGCCTGGATAGGAGACTAAGTGTGATATTGTAGACCTAGATTGTTAAGAAAGTCGAAACGAGAACGAAACTGCTATCTCATGCTTCCTGCTGGTAATCAACGATACTCGAACTAATGTCAGTCTTCAATGAACAAAACTATCCTCCAGATAATCAATTTTGAACAATATATAAAAATTATATACATATAAATTACCTTAAAGTAAGCAGGTAGTGAGCTGTATAATTTTTTGGGAACCGGAATACACTCCACTTGTGCATGATGACGAATAGTATCCGATTTACTAGCAGTTTCAATGAAAACACAACCTGATTGACTGTACTGCTCTTCGAACATTACTGTTAATTGGTATTTGAAATGTCGGATTTCTTTTATTGCATCTTCATCTAGTCGAGTAGTTGAACTGATATGTTCATAAGGTGTAAGTAAACAATAACCTGGTGTCATACTAATATGTGAAGGTAAAGACAAAAACACCTGGAGAAAAAAAAAGAACATGCATCTTACTTCCTTTTTTTATACAATAAAGTAATTAACTGTGTACAAGATGGGTGTATATTCGATCAAGCGGTAGCGGCTCTCAGTTACTAGATTGCAGGTTTTAACCTGGCTCCACTTATAGCAGTTCAAATAGTTGGATAATAGCATTGGCCCTTACACTTAGAGTATGGTTCTAAGCTGAGTACACAAAACTGCAACTGGAAATAAGTCAAATAAATAGGGAAACTACAAATAGCCAGGACTGAAGTAAATGGAATGAATTTGATAATTTCAAATAAATTGAGCATTGGGTAGAAAATTAATGATATATGTATTTGTTATATCCCGATGAGTATAAAAATTGTATTTCTGACGTTTCGTGACTTAACGTAGGTGGCTTCTTCAAAGTAAACAGGACTTTTTGTCATAAAATGTCATAAAACTTTAAAATGAAACCATATAAATCACAAAACTGTGAAGATAGTATAAAGACTATCGGTAAATTTAGTGACTGCATAGAACACATCTATTTTTTCATCGTTTTACAAATAAATGAATAAATAAGTAATAAAATAATTAGAGGATAGTTTTTCAAAAATATGTTGAAATTTAAAAAGATAAATTCTAAAAACTGTAGAGGGTATTAAATAAGTGAATTTTATTTTTATTCTAAGATTAGCCAATATAGATTTTGGGATCGAGTCCATAAGAAATATAACCTTTAACTATTTAGTCATTCCAGTAGTTTGAAATATCTGTTCTACATTAATTCGTAATACAATCAAGTTGTTATAGGATTTCAACAGTCGATATTAGTGTCTCCAATATCAAACTGATCATCTCCTTGATGAGAACAAAAATTCTTGACAAGTTTTAATATATTTTGGATTGTGGAACGGGCGTTTTATTATACTTGAAAGTCACTACATGAATGTACCTCAAATTCAATACCTGTCGCTTGAAATATCGACATATTATCCAATAACCTACTTGTAGAAAAGAGACTGAATAGAAACATTTGCTCACAATGTAACGGTACATGCAAAGACTGGTTAAAATTCAGTCTTGAATATCAATAACGGAATAGTTAAACATATTATGAAGAAAATTCACGGCATAAAAGTAGTGAAAATCAAACATTAGTATACCTTTTCACCAAGACTAACAATTAAATATTTAGGAACACGTTCTAGACAAGTTAAACACTTTGACTCGGCAAATACTCTTCTCTTATAAGCTATATAGAAAGAAATAAAGAGTAAAATAGAATAAAACGGAAACTTAAAATATGCATGACTAAAATATTACCAGCTAAATATAATACTCTAGATGTTTAAAAAGCTTTTTCTTTAACAAGGTTTCTTAGTTTAAAAGTGATTTAATTACATGTTGTTAGCGGGACATAGACTAGATTAAAGCATGCTCAATGAATGATTGCTTTGGTGCACGCTGATTGGCTAATTCTTGTCCAATCAGCACTAGTCGATAGTTGGAGAATACTCTGGAATCTTCTTATGTGAAAACTATAAATATACTGACGTTTTCCCTATTGCGCTTCTGACTTGCTTCTTACTTCCATCTAACCTTTTTATTTGGAATATAATCTCTTTCCTGTTCAACCGTGTTCTGATTTGGGGTCTTGTCGAGTGATTTAGTGTCCAAGAATACTAAGCAATAGGAATAGCCGGGTCATAACCGTAAGAAGAAGAGATTATAAGAATAACAGTTTAATGACAAGTGAAAATTATTAGATTAACTATCTTCAAATTGTACAAAACGGAACATAAGTTATAAATGGAACTAAGAATGTTTGAAAATAATTTACATTTTGAATAAGTAAGTAGAATGTCAATCAATTCTAAAATCAGTCAGGGGCTCTTATATAACACCTCTAATGTATGGTATTGAGTCTTAAGCTTGAACGAAACAACTGTAAAATGTACTTTAGTTTAATTAAATGACTATCTAGGTAATATCAGTTCATAATGAAAGTTACTTGTAAACTAAAAATCCGCTTATAAACCCAATCAATGTATATGTATTAAACAAAACTTTCAAGGTGGAGAAAAATAATGTTTATCATTACTTTTATAGTATTTTTCATTGGTTAAAACAACGTCATACATGAAGACAGTTTCAGCTAAATTGTTAGTTAGAACTTTACTAGAAACAAGGGATCGATTGATATATATATTGCACCTCATAGTTAAAAACTTGTTCAACGGTAAATGTACAATTAACTGAACACGAAATTGATCATTGAATCTTTTAGATGCTGTAATGAGAAGACGAAGTTCTGATAATCTTCGTCTTTTTATTACATAAATTTATCAAAGGGATCAATTGTTTTAAACAGAACCTTTAAGTTCTTTTTGGAAACCAAGGTTAATATTTAGACACTACCTTAAAATTGAGTGATTAAGATTTACTGACTATTAAATTTTATTATTATTAATGGCTTTATTCAATATGATATTCTTTGTACAATATAGAATTCTCATCACAAAGTATCTCAACAAGATTCCTTTTCTTATTTCTCGATCGATCCTGACGATAAATATTGAGTGATCGCCAGTTAGATGTTAGCAGTTCAAGAATTGACATCTGAATAATGTTCATTCTTTCCGACGTATATTACCAACAACCACAATGTCGCTTATTGAACTTTTTTGTAACCTGTACAGCGAAAGATTATAAGCTTTTCATAAACGCGCCTGAACAGGTTGTGCAATTTATAGATATAATGGTATGTTAAAACAAACAAAAACAGATAACTTGTTGAAATATCTAGATGACAGGAATAGGTAACCCAGATATTCAAGTAGGTCGCCGAGATTTACAGGTAACAACTAATTCAATTATTTCACCATAGTTTATTGGTGCAATGAGGTTATCTTTTTCGACCATTAAACATTTTGTAGCTCTATAGATATTAAAATAAATGCCTCACAAGATCAGTATACAGAAATGAATTAAAATCGTAGAAACTACAAAACAATCGTTAGCTAATTTCAATTTAACTAAGTACGATTCAAATAAATGTTTGTATTCTGGGAGAAATGAATCAAAATTTATTAACCTTGAAGGGTCTTATCTAAACAGTTTGTTTTAAGGATTCACATAGTTACAGGTTCAAAACTCACTTCACCTGTTTTGATCATTATGTCCCATATATGAAAAAAGATACTTTGTCTAGAAACAACTATTAGAATATAAATAGTAATGAGGACTGATCTTTTATAAGAATTAGAACTTGTTTAATCGAAGAAAGTCACATTTATACTACAGATTGAAAATAAATGACAAAATCAGTATACATACAACTCCACGGTCTAATCGGTAAACCTACATGATACAGCATCCTGTTTTACATTTAATAGCTTCTTTTTCAGCATTTACTCGTTTTTTCACAAAAGCATCAGTGTATTCATCTTCTACACTCTAAAAATGCATACATTTAAATAAATACTGTGTAAGAGCTTACAATTAACATAACAGTATGGCAGTTAAGACATATTGGCTTCAGTGATTTGAGTACTTTGCTTTTAATTATGTGTCGACTATAACTTATTTGTACCAAATTATAGGTCTGTGTACACGGTTAGTAGTGTACATGACTAGTAATTAGTACTATCACTGTCTAAACCGCAGTTCAATAGATTACTGTGACGACGGACCACCGGTGAACTCGAGGAAGCTGTAAGAGGCTCAGAAGGAGCCGAAGACGTTCCGTCCAATCACCTTTCGGGAGAATATTCTAGAATTCCTACGTGTGGCTTCCCGATTGGATAATGCTAATAACCCCCTGTATGCGGATCGGAGGACTGTAATGAGGATTTCGTTCTCACTAAAAACTATAAATACCTGACAATTTTGTGCTATGATTGACACTGTTTGGAATAATATTCCTTTCATCAGTCTTCTGTCTTTTTATTGCGACTTGGAAGGGTTTTGGTGTTCTAGTGTTCTGTTATACGCGGTATATCAAGAAATCAACATTCAAGATATAACAATTACATTAATCTTATACGTCTGTAAAATACTTTTCATCTATATTTATTACAATTATCCAACTTGTTTCTGTTTTTCAAAACATCTGTGGAAGTCTTCGAAGTCAGGTTTGTCAATCATATAATCGTTTCGCGTTTTATGATCGCTACGTTATACCAGCAGTTCTGTCTTGAAAGAGATCAATAATATAAAGTTGTATGATTAATAGGAAGCATGATCTGACGTATCGATTAAACAATTGCGAACCATCATTGTTAACAATCTCAGTAACTAGCTAAGTTTGCGTAGGTATTAGACATTTCATGTATTAAAGTGAACGTTTCCCTCATTCAATATATATGTGTTATATGTAACTTTGTTTACAGAATAAAATTGACAACAAAAACATTTCACCTTTCTAGCAAGTCTTGAAAATTCCAAATCCATATCACTGGCTGAATGTAAACGTTCATCACGTATCATATCAGCAACTTGTCGGTCTTCATTATCTTCTGGGAAGAAGGCTATCCGTTGCCCAGTTGAGTCATGAGATTTAAAACGTTGTAAGCTGGAAAGTGATATCAATCAATCGAAAATTGCAATCAGAAATTGCATGATTTCGATAATATAACATTAAATAGACGTAATGTGTTTGTAAGAACAGATGTGTTTTGAAATAGTTATTACTAATGAAGAACATCATGTAGTGTGTTGCAATACATGCACAAACACACACATTTTAAACATTTGTTTGGATGCTTGATATTTTCTACAGTTGAGTGGGAAAAGTTTCCGGGTTGTAAGACTATACACCCATCTTCATGAATCAGCCAGTCGATCACAACCAACGCTAAGTCTGACACAGATGCCCACATCATCACACTAAGAATAAACTAACGAGATGTATGTGGTTGACTGTTTAGCCCGTTTTCTTTATGACAAAGAAGTATCATTAGAGATGTTGGTTATCAGCAAGAAACACCTTACTGATATCCAGCCCAGGGAAGCCCTACTCACTGCATTCTCGCGGTAGGGGTGTTGTCTAAAAACTTGAAAGGATGATAAGTGAATGTCCGGCGCTTCAACAGGGTTGGTGGACACAAAGAATGTATCTAGGGGAGTTGGAAAACCCTGATTTGAAATCAATGGTGCACATGGGCTACAGTGACCTGAAGGAACAAATGGCGTATGAACCAATCGTTGGTCACAGGCTACCATGGGACTGCATCTCCTGACGTTGCTCCACTGACTTGTGGATCAGACCTGTAGGTCGAAGGCTCCAGGTAAGGCCCCCTAGGAAAATCACCTGCTTCGGTTTGGGCACCTGTGCAGTATCACAGCACACACACAAATCAAGTGACTTGTGTGGCACATATTTATTCGGTGCCCCTTTTTACCAATATTTATGTATTCAAATAAATAAATAAATAAAGCATTCCAGGACAGTAGGCAGTACGATTTAAACTTCAGATCATAAGCTTATCGTTCCTAGTTCTACCGCTATTCGACCAACCCACTTGGTGGAACCTCTAGAAAGGAGTGAGTCATTTAATATAGCTTGGTTGAGTTTTCATGATACCCAAGAGTAACAATCGCGTCAAGCTAGCAGATATAGTTGAGATCAGTATGAGTTCCACTGGTAATCAAAGCATTCTACATAGGCACAATGTGTGAGTGAGTGAAGAATTAAAGAAAGTTAGAGATCGATGATAATGATACGACCTCATTTACGATATATATTATCAGCTGCTCCACTCTGGATTATTATTCTACAAAGATCCTTCGGTTTTCAAGAGTTATCAATATTTGTTATTGACATAGAAAGAGCAAAATGAGTTTGAATTCTTTTTAGTCAAATAGTTGAACGTCAAGAAGTTGGTGTAAAAAGTCATAGCACACAATTTCCTTCAAATGTATGAATAAATTGCAAATAAAGGAAACATCTAAAAACAAAAGCATACTTTTTATCATTGGTATGTGAAGTTCCTGGAAGATTACGTATATGTACTGGTATTTCAATACCTTGATCATTTAAACGTGTTAATGCAATTATTTTAGACTGATTATCTCCTGACTGATTATGGATTGTTTTATTCTTTTGTACAGTATGAATTCGTACTTTAATACCACGACGCATAGCTTCACGTAATTTTTCTAAATTTGCTTTTAATTTTTCTACTTTCACCTATTTATAATAAAATATATATTTAAAATTACAAACAAACGATCTAAAAACTTTTTTTCTGAAAAGAAGAGATACTGTTATTTATGATAATGAACAACATATGAACTAAAGACATTAGTTCATATACAGTAATGGACTTGATGTTTTCTGAAAGAAATACCACCAGAAATCCCATATTTCCAGTTTTAGAATTTTGTTCTTAAAATTTTGTTACTACACGCTTCAGTTTCTTGAACGGCCTGAAATCATAAATTCATGTGATCTTTTATTTCCTTTTCATCTTTAAATATATCATTAAATTATCTCCAAGTCAATTGTAAACTAGGATTAAACATTAATAAAGTCTTTTGCAGAGACAATAAAAGACTAAGAAAGTATCAATATTTCTCTTTAAATTATGTGGACTTACTAAAAACGGTTGAAAATTTTTGGTTGTACATAGATTAAGTTGAATCATTTTCATATACATCGCTTAGCTAGTGTGCTGTGTGAAATAATGGATCAATTATACTTACTATAATATACACGGTAATATTAATCAGGTTTATTTATCACACAGAGTTTTTGTACTGAGGTTTGAATATCATTACATAAGGTTCTCCAATGAAATTGAAATTTGAAATGCATTATCTCCAATAAAAAAGTTCTTTTAATCAAATAAGAAAGATTAAAATAGTAAGTATGGGACAAGTCGCCTCTAATGTAGCATTTTTTGACTAGGGAATAGTAATAAGTGATTACTTGGTAATAACTGATGCCATGTTTAGTTAGTTTAATGTTGGCTGAAAAACAAGTGCTACAACCAGGAAGCCGTCCTTCTAAAAGTGAGTGCAAGATGAAACTAATGACTACGTATCAAAGTTTCTAGACAAAAAAGTTACATTCGTCAAACAAACAAAAACTGCAAATAGTGCAGCGTACATAGTATGAAACAACACTACCCCATAAATAATCTCTTACGTGATTCGACTCCAATTCTGCTCGCATCACCTTAGCAGCGACTGAATTTATGTCATCATTTGTAACTAAACGTTCTTCAAATGTTCTTTGACAATCATTGATAGAATTTTCTGATTCGTGGTTAGTTCCTTTTGCTTTGATAATGATTCTACGAGTCACAAGATGTTAATCAATTATTAAACAATGTAAGAAGTAACTTGTAAGACGATTACTGAATAAGAATAATTATATCAGCCAGTCAGTCATGCACAACGTAGAACCTGGTTTACATGTGAATCCGTTGAAGTTGTTATGCTGAGCCAGCACAGTGAGAGATAGTTATGTACAAAGTGTAGTACGTAAAACGGGATTGTGGCTACCTAGGATGTGAGTCTGAGTCTATTTGGAATTTATTGGTGAGATGCACATAAATCACAATGTGATGTTTAACATGGCACTTATCACTTCAGACATTAACAACGCTTCATCTACTACGCAACTGAATCCAAATAACTTGTTTCGCAACATATACAACGGAAAAATACAAACTCTTACAAATTTTATATTATAGTTTATTAACCAAGAATAGCTCCTCTCATGAACTGATATCAACTAGAGAACGACTATTAAAACAACAGGGAATTAGATTATTGTTTTCTCCCAAATCTTAATTGTATCTACGCTTGGCCATATATACAAGACTACGTTCACATTTCATCATGAACAGGTCATAGTTGACTCAATAAAGTATATGTATAAATTATTTTTGACAGTAGTATTCAGAAACTAAGAGTTAATTGAACACTTGACTTTCTTTACAACGACCAACTAAGAAATAAACACAAAACAATGTAAAATGTGAGATATCATAACCCTTTATTGTAGAGACATAGATTTAACCGAAGGAATTAGTAATATCACCCGATAGCTCTAATCATCCTACCGTTTTTGAAGGTGTTGTGTTTTCTGAGCTAAAAGGTTTAATCGTGAAACTTTCATTGCCTTTCTAGACAACATCATCAACACGTGCTTCAAAAGAAGTAAGCCATTAAGAATTCCACGGTTGACCAACAGTTTATTCTGCTAACATGGTATTTGATGGTTATCCATATATCCTTTTTCGATGTTTGTACACTTGCTTTGATCATCCCTCTTGGTTTCATGAACAGCTTTAAGGTCAGAAATCAGGCAAAGGGAGAAAACAATCAAAGAAAATGTGAAAACACTGATATCATATGGACAACAACTGAATACCATGTCAGCATGACAAGCTGTTGCTCAACCGTCGACGTCCTAATAGCTTTTTTCATTTAGAAGCACGTTTTGATGATGTTGTTTAGAAGGGAGATGAAAGTCTCACGACCAAACCATTGAGCTTAGAGGATAAAATATCACAAAAATCCTTCTGAGTCAAATACCTCTTCTATCATCTGACCCCTGAAGCTAAAACTGAAGAATAGATCCAAATAAAAGCCGAGTAGTTGAAATGGAATTCAGTAGAGCAAAATTATCCGCCAAGTGCGTGAATACATGTGCTACACGACGTATTACTGATTAACACAACATATTGATGCCACCGGTCTGCATTACAGCTTGGAAGCCCTTTCAAAAATCGACGCCTTACACATCAAACACATACATCGACCGTTCTGTTATATTCTCTTTCTTACGGTTATGACCCAGCTATTCCTATTGCTTAGTATTCTCGGACACCGATTCACTCGACAAGTCCCCAAATCAGAACACTGTTGAAATAGGGAAGAGATTATATTCCAAATAACAAGGTTAGATGGAAGTAAGAAGCAAGTAAGAAGCACAATAGGGAAAACGTTAGTAGATTTATAGTTTTTCACATGAGAAGATTTCTAGTGTTCATTAAGTATTGGCTAACGCTGATTGGACAAGAATTAGCCAATCAGCGTGCACCGAGGCAATCGTGCATTGAGCATGCTTTAATCCAGTCTATGTCCCGCTAACACGTTCACAAAAAATACCAAAAACATATTGATACAACAATAATTTAGAACCTCTATCCCAATAATAATGTAGCCTAACTGCCATTAATCATGGAAGTATATGACGACGTGACATAATTATTTTTGTAAAAACTAATTAATTATCTAGTAATCACATAAAATTTCAACGGGTGGGTAAAACCCACTTAGTATCGCCACTAAAAAAGAGGGTCTCTTATGAAAACAGTATGGTGATCAGCCACCAAAGACAGAATGACGTGTTTGACTTTAAACAATTCACTTTCGAAAACTAAACAATAAAACCAATGGTATAACTCTGCACTGAGTATTTAAAAATTATAATTGATGGGAACAACTAAATATCACACAAGAGTAGTTATTTTCTTTAATTATTTTTGCAAATGTTCTATTTAATAAATTTTTCTGGCAATATTAGTAAGATACTAAAGCGATACTAAAGTGATTTTTCTTCAATTTAGTTTTTATAATTGAAGAGTATAAACAAATAAATAGACAATCATAATACAGCTCAACATGGTTCTATCACGAATTGACAGTAGTAAGCTTTGAAAAGAAGCTTGGAAGATTTGAAAACTAGGATGGGTAAGGAATATCTGTTCTATTTTTGTTTGGGACTCTTCGGTAACGTGCACCTACGTCGCCTTCAAAAAATTGTTGGAATTCAAGTGTCAAGGTAAGCATAGCACTCTTTAGATTACCAAAACAGAAGATACCAGTTTTACATTTTTAACATCAATAGTAAAAAATTGTGGTAAAGGGTGATGATTTTGAACCAATACGACATCGGTGATATAGCTTTCATGTCTTATACAACTCTCCCCAAGGTAAAAAAAAGAATCGATAGAAATACATATAAATAACGAGAAAAACAAAAATGAACAAACTAATTAGATGGTATTAGACAGAAAAGCAATATTAAACATACCAGTATCTTCGGGCGAATAAACTCTTTTTGAATGTAAGTGAGACGATGATTTTCCATTGTTATCAGTAGTAGGATTAGTAGTCTGGCATTTACGCCAACGTGGTTTTATATCCACTGTGTTAGAATTACATTGCGTTCTGGAACTGAGAAAGTATTGAGAGCAAAAAATGAATATCAGCGCTACATATTAAAAAATCTGTTAAGATAACGTAGATATACTCCTAAAAATAGATATAAAGTCTTATAGTGATATCGAGTTTTCTAAGCTAAATGACCTAACTGAGGAGCCTTTTTTGACATTCTGGACATTTTCAGCATCTATTTCATGCCAAAAGAATCTACTTGAAGTGCAAATTTCTCCCATTCCAGATGAACTTATATTTAACAGCAAATCACTGAATCCACTTTAACCATAGTATAATGAAAATGACAATGAAATTAAATAATGTTTGCTCAATGATAACTAAAATTATCAGTGGCCCCCAAATGCCCTGGTACGGCCAAGAGTGGGAAGAGTCCGCTCTCCCTCTCCAAATGCTCTCACATGGCCACGCGTATATAACTTCTGCTAGGGAAGTCCTACTCACTGCCCTCTCGTGGCACTACTGTTGTTTACGAAAATGTGAGGACGAAAAGCGAATGTCCGGCGCTTTAACCGGATTCCAAACCAATGGTGCACATGGGCTCCAGTATCCTGCGGGAACAAATGGCGTATGAACCAATCGTTGGTCACCGGCTACCATGGGACTGCATCTCCTTACGATGCTCCACTGCCTTGTGGATCAGACCTTCAGGTCGAAGGCTCGGGGGTGGCCCCTTGAGAAAACCACCTGCTTCGGTTTGGGCACCCAGGCAGTATCACAGCCCTCACACATATCGAATGAGATTTGTGTGGCGCATATGTATTTGGTGCCTCCTTGTGCCAATATCTATGTGTTAAAATAAATAAAATTCTCAGTCTTACGATTAACTGGAGAATCAATTATATTCCTCAAACTTCGCTACGAATATTCCCGTTGATTCTGACAGGCTGGTATAAGATAGAACTTTAGAATTCAAAAAAATTATTTGCTTCTGATTGGTTTGCAATCAAAGTTGGTTTGTAGTAGTATTGATAGCTTTCGATATTAGTAAGTAGAGCTCATAGCCTGTTATATATGAATATTTACGTGGATAATAAGTGTACGTATTTATTCTTCAACAGTGTCGTCAGTAACTTACAATCCTATAATCCATCTTCATAAAAATTAAGTATCAATCTAAAAGATAATTAATCCATATTTATTTTCCAAGTACAGGGTTATACAGTTAGCTATGAGTCATACTTTCGTTGTATGAGAGCTATTGATACTGGTTTACTGCCTAAAAACGAGAGATATAGTGTCGTTGTATGAGTTAACAGTTAAACTGTCATGAGGTTTACGTCTTAACCAAAATAAACTAAGACGTATAGGGGTGTTGAACTTAAAATTCTTATTAAGAAATTTAATATTAGTTTTGCTTTAGTACCAAGCTCATTAGCCAGAAATACTAATATTTTAAGAAGTATTGGTATACTCAATAAAACTTGAGTCTAAAAACATTCACTAATATAGGTTGATTAATTCAGTTGCATGACTTATAGAGAGTTAAGAACTTCATAAATACGTTAACCTTGATGTTTTTACCCTACTGGTCCGAGTAACATCTACGTCGAAGAAAAAGATTAATATAAGTAACACTTAAATAAATGCAGTTAGAAGAAAAAACTTGGTAGAACAACTCAGGTCAAATACTCATTAAATAGTATGTTAGTGAGAAACTTGGTAACACTGAGACACCTATACGAAGACATATTATGATGAGACTACCCTAGTAACTAGTTTTATTAGTTTAGTACTATGCTGTGAAATTGTGATCTCAGAATAAAATAAATTTTATTTGATTCTACAATCATATATAAAAACCAAGACGATTACTATGTAGACCGGCATCGTAAAATAAAAGGTGAACGCCTAGTTAATATTCACAACACTAAATAAAGTAAAGCTTGAAGGTTTTATGAATTGTTATTCACTTTGTAATTGCTGCGGTTATTTCCTATCCTGTTTTACATTCCTCAATAAAACCAAGTTAGTAAAATTTCATACATTTTAGATGGAAAGCGCAAATAACCCATAAGAGTAAACATGAAAATAAAGGCAAAATTCATAGTGAAATAAAATATGATTAAGAATAATTAATTACCATTTGTTATTTCCATGTCTATCTCCGAACCTATTCAACATATCATTCACAGTATCTTCATCCCAACGCTGAAGCAATACATTTCTTAAACTAACACCCGTCTCCCTAGATGTGTCAACACAACGAATGAATGACTTGTACAACCATGATTGATTATCGTCTGTCAAAACAGATTTTGAAGAAGTCTCACTATTTGGCAAACCACTCCCTCCATCTTTCAAGTAAGGATTAAGCTCATTTATCTTGTAGCTATTATTCTGACTACTTTTCGTTGCTTTATTCCCGCTTGGCTTTGAACTGAATGTATCAAAAAAGCAGTCCAGAGATTTGACATCAGTGATCCAATTACTTTCCTAAAACAAAAACGATTGATTATTAAAAACATCTCAACTTACCTGTACGTCACTTTTTTTAGTAGATTTTTCTTTTGGACTTTGATCATCTTGTTTCCATTCATAATCACTCTCTGATGACTAAATTAATGACTGAATACGTTACACAAGAACCTACAGAATCATCAGTGCTCGATTTTTTATGCTTTCTTTTTTGCTTGTGTTTTTTGTGAGACATCAAAATATGTTGATATTGATAAATCTTGGAATATAGCAGATAGTTCGACCGATTTCAGAGCACTGAAATATCAGTTTGACAATAACATAATGCGTTAATGAAAAAAATAGGATGAGGAATTCTATCGATGGACATAATAATTAATTACTGGAAAATACCATCAGTTGATGTAACTGTATTTAGAATTTAAATGTTCAAACAACCGAAATGAGGTAGAAATTAATTTCTTTAGAAAAACATGAATGTTATGTTTAACGCACTTTTACGAAAAGTCTACTAAGTGGACTTGTGATGGTTGTTTCAAGACCATTTTGTAGCTGAAATTATGGTTTATTTTTAGTTAACTGTAATCACAGTGATACTGGACAAATTCGTTTGATGTTAGACATGTGTGGAGAACATAACGCCTCAAATTACACTGGGGAAACAAAATCAGTCTATAAAAATCTGCATATCAATCTAAGGTGGTTACTGACCAGCTAACTCAACACAATACTTAGATTAATTACTTGAAATGAATTATTTTATTGATTTTTAGTGTATTACCAGTTGTATTTTTTAATTCCGTATAAATTTAGTTTGATTTTTGATATGTTTCCTTTTGTATTGGTTAATCCACTGTGATTTTGTGTTCAGTCAGAACCGATGAGTTGATAAAATCGACATAATCCGACAAATTTGAATACAACTGAATTTCTTCAGAGTCTATCAAGAAACTCTAAACGCAAACCCTATTTAGCGGGAAGAAAGAAAGAACAGAAAGTCTCACTCATCATACTGAAGTTAAGGTTGAATATAATTAGCTTACTGCACAAGCGTATCAATCTGGAGCATACACAACCAGTAATCTCATGAGCTATTGGATTTTAGAAGTCTGTATTTCTTCTTATGTAGAGTAGATCTGGATTTATCTTGTTTTTTTACCAGCTGGTCAAGCGGGCATAGTTTGTAATCTCTTGCTGTGAGGAAACATAACAGACACAACAGTACACGTGATCATATAGTAAATAGAATAAAAACTGAATGTCCAATAATACTGAAACTTACTTCCGAAGAAATGGTATTCAGATGCTTTAAATTCATATAAGACCAGTGACGTATGGATTAGTTCATGTTACTTAATTAGGTGAACGTAACTAAGTTTTATTCATATTATAAACTTTTAGAGATGATGTTAAGCAAGTACATCATATCATCCACTTCAAAAATGTTTCACGTAGTGACAGTCAAGTCTAGGTAACAACGTAACCTGATAATCTGATATAAGAGAAGCCGTTATTTGTCTCAACATACAAATAAATATTTATAAGCTCGGTCACGAATTACACAATTTGAGTGACGGAAAAGTATACTTTTCCAAATGCATATTACATTAAAATTCCATCAACACTATTTTCTTCGAAGCATTAAGCCCTTTAGTCATTTTAACAGCCTTATTACCTTGAATGTCCAAATTTTAATGAGGTCTTCAGTATACTACCTATTAATTCACATTTACATTATTATAATTTTACGAATGCTAAGGCACACATCATATAAGGACAAAAACGTATGACACGCAACGTAGTTTAAAATGCCTTACTTTATTGAGACCGGCGGAAGTAAAAAAAACGAGATTGATATTGGAGAGAAAGTCAGGTTTCTGGATGTTAAAGAAAAACAAACGTAAAATATTAGTTCTAATTCCCGCAGATTTACTACCCGAAGCAGTGATTTTCTATGTCCAATACAAATATTTCGAATGTTTTTGAACGGAATAGAGACGGCTTTCACTCACTCGGCTTCCACACTCAGTAGCAGTTGATCACCGGTGCCCTTATGTATAAACCTATGTACCAATAACAAAAAGAAGAGAAAAATTAGCGAATTATTTTGAAAAAATGTCCTAAATGTTTATGAGTATATAAAGTTTTCTCTTAAAGGGCTCCTAGAAATTTGCTTGCGCCACCTCACTCGGCAGCGATTTTTGGAATTTGACTGCTCGTAAAGGGTAAAAGGTGTGCCTACAGCCCTTCCTGTCATGTTCAGTCCCTAATTTCTGGATGTTACCCTCAAGGTTTGTGTTGGGACTGAGCCTAAGTAGGTATCTTAAGAGATGCCAAGAAATATTGGGAGTTCCATAAGTTACTGGAAGGTCACGTCTGAAGCGCATATACTCCAAAGGATAAAGATTCAGTGATTTGAATTTCCAAACTGACTTCGTGGCATGCCCTTTGGATACGTTCAAGTGTATTCTCGTCCTTTCAGAGTGAGGGAAAACACTATATTTTAATACTCTGTGTAGGGTGGAATTAAACTGGCTAAGATTAATTGAAAAGCTTTGCCGCCAAACTGGCCGGAAATGCACTTCAACTTGGTGAGTGCAGGGTTTGCTCGAAAGCCATTCTTAATGAAGCTAGCGTAGGACTTTAAACCATAGTGCACCAAGACACCTAATATTTTGTCAAAGTGGTATGCTTTTAGAGAAAAATTATCCAAGTTTCCTAAGCTTTTTCCAATTTTTCACATTAAAGCTAGTTCAGTTTACCTCACCCGTTTTTATCCATTTTGCCCGTTTTTAGTGTGCTTTTTAGTGTATTTTTTAACGGTCTTAGGCTTTTGCTAGCATCTATAATACAGTTTACATCAATAAAGTCATGAAAAATTCATGCTTACGACCTGGATGCCGTTTTGCTGTTACATCTGACATGCAGTGTGACAACTCCAAAGGTTGGTTTAACGAAGCGTGCACAGATCTCACAGCAAATGCTTACAACAGACTCATCAAGTCGGATCATAACGGAGAATGTGTTACGTGCAGCACGGATGCTGTAGTCTTGCTGAGTAACATCATTGTCCTGTTGACAGGTCTGCGGAGTAAGTTGTCAGCAAACTTGGAAAAGACAGTCATAAAACGGATAGGAAGCAAGGACGCGCAATGAAAACAAGAATATGATTGTGGCACTACATGCCACTATATATGCATTAGCACTAGTGATGACATGATGAAACTCAGCACTGTCATGACGTCGAAGGTAATAGACTCCCTCAGCAAAGTCGGGTCTCCCAGCACAAGTTCGTTGAATGCAACAGTGGTCCCCAAAAACGTATTAGGTGATTGGACTCACGTTAAAAGAGCTAAAAACGACCAGAAGTCACCGTCTATGCTGAATATCCCAGGTGTTGTACGGAAACCAACTGGTGATTTGGTCGCATAGTCTACCCTCAAAAATGTCCGTCCGGTTATTGAAGAGCCTAGGAATTAGAAAAGCGCTTCGACCTCCAAACAACAAGGTGCTGAACCTGAACGCATCGGAAAACCTGGGAAAACAATAACGGTTAGTGATGACTCTCATAGTCATGAACCTCAAAGACAATCCCTGACCTTCCTCTCAGTTTGCAGGACAAAAATGACAGGATGCTCTGGGGTGAATTAAACAAGAAGCTTGAACTTCCTAGAATAGAGCCTTTGAAGGTCTCACGGCTCACTCGAGGAAAGGAATCTAAGCATCAAAATCACCTCAGGCTACTTCGTGTAACACTTAAGAATGCTACCGACGTAGAGGATGTCCTGCTAGCTTGTCATTTACTGAAATCCGATGGAAACGTAAGAATACTACCAGATATATCGTATTCTGAGCGCAATCACATCCAAAACGTTCCTAAAGAATCTCGCGAGAATTTTTCCGCGGAAGGAATATAAGTGTACAAGGTGTACCGGAAAACACGGAAATAGTCAAAGAAACTTTGGCATTAGGGAATGGAAATTCATCAAAAAGTCCTTGAGGCCAAAAACATACTGACTCAACATGTGACGAGACTAGCCAAGCAGGACGGAGACTCTAGATCCCGAATAATGAGGATAACTTTCACATCCTCCCATATGGCGGCTGCAACTCTGGAAACATTTCATGCCAACAGACGTCAGTTGCCAACTGGAATCCACATGAAGCTAGGACCATACACAGTGTTAGCAGGACATAGACTGGATTAAAGCATGCTCAATGCATGATTGCCTCGGTGCACGCTGATTGGCTAATTCTTGTCCAATCAGAGTTAGCCAATACTTAATGAACACTAGAAATCTTCTCATGTGAAAAACTATAAATCTACTAACGTTTTCCCTATTGTGCTTCTTACTTGCTTCTTACTTCCATCTAACCTTGTTATTTGGAATATAATCTCTTCCCTGTTTCAACAGTGTTCTGATTTGGGGACTTGTCGAGTGAATCGGTGTCCGAGAATACTAAGCAATAGGAATAGCTGGGTCATAACCGTAAAAACGAGATTATAACACACAGAGGCAAATTGGAGTTGATCATTTCCCTTGTGGACTGTCTCGATAACAAACAAACATACAAAGGACAAGGCCTACCAACTCGGTAAACGTTATATAGGTAGGCTACCTGTCCATTCACGTAAGGCTCATACAGACACACAGGAAAAAGCTCACGTGTTTCAACTTGAGAGCATAAACTGTTTGTAAATGAAGTCGCGAGTCTACCAAACAAAATGGATGACCTACGTGAAATTAACAGTGTTAATAAGGTTCATCTGATAAGAATATCTGAATCTTGGATATCTCAGTTCTCGGACCGGGAGCTAGCAACACTTGGAATGCCTTTGTTTCGCAACGACAGTAAAACAGGAATTGGGGGTGAAGTAGCCGTATACATACGATCTTGCTTAGAGGCACACCAAGTTCATAACCTCGAGTTTAACAATCTTGAGGGATCCATATGGTGCTCTGTGAGATTGTCTACTACTTCGAGGTGCTTAGTCGGAGTCATATATAGGAAGCCCATTGCCGACATCGAGTATGACAGTCGTACGCTGGAAAGACTATACCGCTCTACTCGTCTCGGTTTCACGCATATCCTGATTCTAGGGGACTTCAATCTCCCTAGAGTCGATCTTGCGGAACACACGTATATTGGGTGTGAAAACTCAACAGAAGCTCAGTTCTTCCACCTCATTGAGGATTTGGGATTATACGAAAATTTGAAGTCGGCAACTCGTTA